ACAGGCTAGTTATCTTGAGTTCCTGTGTTCGATTCCCAACTGAATCACTTGCGAGATCACGAACATTTGGAAACTTACTGGAAATGTATCTGTTATCATTTGTGATTACCACAGCCTAAAGAATATTTTTAACCTAGCACCCATTAAGCCATCACCGTCAGGTTTTAAGTGGGCGCCGCCACAACCCCTGTCTCTTATACACATCTAGATGTGTATAAGAGACAGTATATATACCGTATACTGTAAATTAAACATTTAAGTTGCAATACGGATGGAATTATTAATTATTATTATTATTATTATTATTATTATTATTATTATCATTATTATTATACTATTAATACCCTCAATAAGCAACGAATAATTGCACTGTATTCTAATTTTGGAGAACCTACACCGCTAATCAATCTATGATAAACATTTGAGCTTAACTACCTAAATTTTAAATTAATGCACATCTTTAGAATAAGTATACGCACTTAAGAAGCTAATGTGTTCGGTTGTGCTAAATATCAAGATTCCTCTTATCTGAGTAAATTTTTTGGTTGCTAATTGATCTAAAAATGGTCACATTATGTAGAGAATTACCCTTCAAATTTGAAGTCTTGCAACCTGAAACCTGCTATTGTTATCTTTCATTGTTTTCATGTGATTATCCAGTTTGATGGAAAATGTGGGCAATATCGTCGTCAAGGTTTAGATCAATCAGTTACCGAAAACGTTCCGAGAGTTAAAACAGATACATAACAGGCAAATAAAAACGCAAAACACAAACCAGACATGATTCTAAATAAAGACGTAAGATTCTTATGCGCGCGTATACCACTTATAAAGATGCGCATATCACTTTGAAATTATTATGTCGGAATCTGTAAACAACACTATCAAATAGAAACATTTGTCTGACAAGGTCTTGAGGATTAATGCAAAAAATAAATAAATTTATGGAGCAACTTGTTAACGGCACATTAACATTGTCATTTTGGGATCTAATTGTTAACGCTAGCCTACCATTCCTTGAAAAATTTATGAGGGAATATTTTTCTAAACTCTTTTAGTAGAATTGACAATAATATATATATTTTTAAAAAACTTGTTAAATGCATCAACGTCAGTGTTTGAACAAATTGCTGTGGCAGCGTTTTAACTTATTATTAAATTTTTAAAATTCGCTCTTAAATTCGAGACCACCTTTGGGACCTGAAAATTTGGGGTGGTCTCCTGGTTGGTCTCCATTTTGAGGGCCAGCTTTGTGTTAAAAGGTTGAAGATTGTTATTTGGGTCTTTGGAAAAGTGGTCTGAAATTAGAGGGGTCTGAAATTATAGGGTTCTCGAATTGGAGTGTGCAATGTAATGGTCGTACCATTGAGTGGTCTCACCAGCTATACTTAAGCGTGGCGGGATCGCCAGGCGTGAGCGAAATAAACGAAATGACCGCCGCGTTTAGGAAAAAATAACCAAGACTGTAACACCTTAAAATATCAGCAACGCGCTAAAAAAAAAAACGTACAGTGAAATTTTAATTTTAAAAAACACACCAGAAAACTACCAAAGTGTGGCGCTGCAGGCAGTCCCACAATGTTTCCATGGCTCTATATTCTTCAATCGCACACTGCAGTGGAAGGCACTCAACCCAACCACATGAAATATCATCTCTTTGTACGCCGCCTGTGCGTGCAAAAGCTGACAAAAGTAGTAGTAGTAATAGTAGGTAAACTCAGGGATGTCCTTGGATGATGCTAAAAAATAGTCGGCTAGGTAGAACGTAGTTCAATACCGTGCATATGTGAGACTATCGTAATATTCAGTGATTTTACGTATCGATGAACAGTAAATTCAAAGTAAAGATAATTATGATTGATTTCAGGATATTAACAGTTTATTCAACAATTATTTCATTTTGAAATTTACCGTACAAATAAAATCTGGTGCAATAAAAGAAGACATTGACCGTGATTGTTGTATATAATGCTTATCTTATTTTATCCATTATCAAATTATTATAATATAAACAATCCCTTAACAATACAGTTATATATAGATGCATTAAAATCACAAATCGTTATAGACTAAGATTATTTTCGAATAAACAGATAGAATTGGCAATAATTATGAAGTTATTTAGTAGCAGTGTAAACATAGTACATAAAAGACAGAAAAAAACTTTATGGATTGGAACAATTACCCCAGAAATATAATTAAACGTTTAAAGTTAATCAGAATTGCTGTCATTGACTAACAATAAAATGGCAGAATTAACATTATTTTCAATGTAAGTAGCAATGAACAATAAAAAAGTCTATTGAAAAAAGAAATACTATAAATATATTTATATATATATATATATGCATATATATATACACATATATATATATATTATAATATATATATATATATATAAATTGATATATATATATATATATATACTTCCTTTATTCCTTTATATGTATGTATATATACATAAACATACATCATGGTATCATGATTAAAGTTCAGAAATGATTGTTGATCAAGCACATTCAACACTCAAGCTTAAAAATAATTTAAGACTTTGACAAAATGAATATTTTATGATTTTAGAATTTGTTGTGGTCTTCTTCTTTTTTTGAGTGTGTGTATGTTTTGTATGTTTTTGTTAATTGATCTTTCCTGCATGAGACCTGAAGTTTTATCAAATTGTAGAATGTGTCAAATCGAAGGCAGAATAAATTGAATCTACTTTGGTTTTGAAGGTGTTGCATAGTCTCGTTAATACTGCAAGCTAACTATAATTTAACAACGAAGAGCATTGATGGTGAAGTAGAAACTGTTTAGGCCCATCTTCAAATATTATTTGAAATTTGTAATTATTGTGTGTGTGTGTATAAATCATCAAGGAAAAGTAAACAGGGTTTTTTTATTTATATTATATGCTACTATTTGTTTCCAGGTGTACCTATTGTGTAAAAGAGTGTATCTGACCAGGGAACAGTGAAATTACGTGAAGACGCAATTTTCGCACGACCTTGGACGGCAAGGCAGAAAATTATGAATTATGGACTGTACCACCTTAAAATATCAGCGCCACGCTAAAAAAAAAAAACCCATCGCAAAAAAAAAAAAAAAAAAAAAAAAAGCGTACAGTGAATTTTACTAAAAAAAAAACCACCGGAAAACTACCGAGGTGGCGCTGCAGGCAGTTCCATAATGTTTCCATGGCTCTATATTCTTCAATCGCACACTGCAGTGGAAGGCACTCAACCCAACCACATGAAACATCATCTCTTTGGACGCCGCCTGTGCGTGCAAAAACTGACAAAAGTAGTAGTAGTAATAGTAGGCAAACTCAAGGATGTCCCTGGTCGATGCTAAAAAATAGTCGGCTGGGTAGGACCGGTAGGACGTAGTTCAGTACCACGCATAGGTGAGACTATCGTAATATTCATTGTTTTTACAATGAACAAATATAACGTTAGAAAATCCAATTTTTGTATTAATTTCAGATGTAGTTGCAGCCCATCAGTCTTAAGAAGCGCGATTACCCTCCTGGATGGCAAACTCTCCTTGCCGTTAAAAGGGATCACGTGCTAAGACCCATGCCTCTGAAAACGTTGTCCATCATCAAAGTAGATCAAATTTTCCATTAAACTAAAGCTAAATCATATTTACATTTTATAAAACAACGTTTATTAATTGAATTTACGTGAAATTCATGCGAAACACGTTTCTTTTTTCTTTTTTTTTTTTTTTTCATGCCCAATTTAATGTACCATGAAGAATACTGTACCATAATAAAGCATATAAGGCTAAACCATTGCCTACCCGGTGAAATTTTTACTGACAACTAGCGGTAATAACATGTTTATTTCCGCTATGTTACAAATGTGGTTTCCGGTCGCGAATTTTTTTTTCCTGGGCCTAAATACATTTTGTAGGCCTACAACTTATAAGTTTATTTTGGTGTGCGTGACTGAGATACATTCCTAAAAAATACGGCCTAGACCTAGACTAACTGTATACAGTATTGTTTTGTAATTATAGCTTAATCATTATTCATTTCAAAAATAAGCCTATGTATTTCAGAATTATAATAAAAGGAGATATAAGTCTGTGGTGTTCAACACTCTTCATTCTCGTCATGTCGCTATCGCATCACATGTCATCAGCACTCACTGTATAGAAACCGCTCTGACAATAAATATTCATGATTTACTGCCGAATCAGGAAGGTGATATTTTGAATCTATACCACCGCCAATCAATTTTTTTCCCCTGGACGTTTGAGGCAGTGGAGATTGGTGGCGCTATAGATTCAACGTAACTATAGTTCCTATATAGAGAGAGTTGCGATATGCGCGGTTCGCGAAACTTTTTTTCCCGGTCCTCTTCTTCAAGCAAGGCTCAAGATTTCCTTATCTAGGCACCAAATGCTCGACCTCGAGATCGCTGCAGTTTTCGCTGAAAGAAGACACCGCAGTTCGATCAGTTAAATAATAACTCAAAACTAAAGCTGATTTGTTTTTAATAAGGCAAGATATTGTCTTAATCTAAATTTTACTAGTCAACCAAATATACTCTCGAAAGCTGCAGTCCCTATTGAAGACCCTAGGCCAAGCTCGTAGGCACAACAATAACGATGGCAAGCTTGCCAAACATAAAATATTCAAAGTAATGACGGATTATACTAACCAAGTGTAGGCCTATATTGAAATAAATTTAACAAACATGAATCAGTATAAAAAATAAATATTTGGCTTCGAAACGTAAAATAATGTGTTTCCGATCTACACGATCACCCACTGGCAGGTCGAGTATAACCATACTATGGCTATGAAAAATTTTCAAACAAGCGCCTTCTATTTAATACAACCGAATAAAAAAAACATATTTCGTTCATGGTTGGCCTAAAACCGTAAACGGAACCTAAGTCTAGCTATGTACCGGCTTTAAAGCGATGGCTAAACCTAAGCCTGTTTTCATTTATCGCCCAATATACCGTAAGGTAATGAATTCTGTTTTTGATATAACTAGCTGTACAGTAACGGAATAGGCTAAGCCTAGATCTACTGTGGCTCGACATCTCAGCGCGAAAGATCCGATGTCGCGCTCGGTTCTCCAAATTATGCCTTCTATTTTACCGATTTTACGCGTGCATCTATGGCCCGATTATGATAAAAAAAAAAAATACATGTCTCTTTTAGATTTTATGTTATAGATGTTAATTTAGGCAGTGGTATTTTGTTCATGGAAAAATTCTAGTATTATAAATGACTTGTTACTGTTTACTTATTGATATCGTTTGCATTTAAATTAAATTAAAGGTTAAGTAAATGCAATTTAAAATGTGTTTAAATATGTACCAACAATGACAACGTTTACACCCACGCTTTTGAATTTTGCGCACCACCCTTTAAGTTTTGAGGACAACATTTTTTGAAATTCCACCACTCTTTAAAAAAAAATCTTGATGAGAAGGCTAACATAATGTATTATATATCTGTCTCTTATACACATCTAGATGTGTATAAGAGACAGTATATATATATATAAAACCATGAGAAAGAAAAGGGAAAGAAAAGATATGGAAACATAAGAAAGACAAAGAAAAGGAAAAGAACAGGAAACTTAAGAAATATGATGAAAAGGAATGGATAATGAATCATAAGAAAGTACAAGGAAAGAAAGATAATCTGACATGAGAAAGTAAAGAGAAAGAAAGCATAAGAAAGACAAAGAAAACGAAAGTACAGGAGAATTAAGAAAGATACGAAAAGGAATAGATAAGGTTACATAAGAAAGTAAAAATGAAAAGAAAAGGAAAAGTCACATGAGAAAGAACTAAAAAAGAAAGATAAGGTAACATGAGAAAGGAATAGAAAAAAAAAATATAAGGAAACAAGGAACACATCAGAAAGGTATAAGGTAAGTAATTTTTTGATGAACATAAAATGCAATGAAATAAAATGCAAAATATTTCCAGGAAAAACTGACAAGTTAATATATGATAAAAAGGATGGAATTACTTTGAGAAAATGAAAAGGTTGGTTTACTTTTTGATTTCGTGTGCTGCTTAATTGTCAATAATAAAATTTTTTAAAAAAATAAATAAATAATTTATTGCCTTGAGCACCAATTTTTGGTGGTGATGTTTGCGCTTTAAAAATCGTTATTATTATTATTATTATTATTATTATATATACAATGGTACCGCATTTTTCTCAGACTACAAAGAGACACGCCAGCATACACGGTTTTAGAAGGATTATACAACTCACACGTCTTGCTGAAAATCATGAAAAATGGCGAGATTTGGTAAGATAAAAGCGTTCATATGATAATGATGATATAATATATATATATATATATATATATATATATATATATAATATAATTATAATAATAACCATAACAATAATAATAATAATAATAATAATAATAATAATAACACGTTGAACGAACACTGAGAAATCACTGATAAATTATACGAAACATCGAGGAACGATGCATATATTCTGAATTAAACGTCGCAACGTAAATTTAGGCCTAGACAAGACTAGTGACGATTATTGAAAAAAAAATCGTGTTTTAAATATATTGCGTACGTGCCACTGTCAATGAATAGTAAATGTGTCCAACACTAGTACCTAAATTGGTCTGTCACAGTTACTTACCTTTTCCATGTATTCGTATAAAGGATTTGCTATGAAATCCATTGTTGTATTCTCTCGTATCTGCTTGTTTAATTGACAAACTTCATTTTGCCGATTGTAATTTACCGAAAAACAGTAAGTTTTTCTTGAGCAAGCCAATAAACATTGTATACGATTATGGTTCTGTAACTCCTGACTCCAGCCTAATAGGACATGTTGTGGAAAAACAACAAACTGCCCTGTGTTTGCAACAGAAATACTGGATCTAAAGCAGGAGACAAGAGAAAACAAAACGGCAAAGGAATACATTATTATGGAGAGGTAATAAAAAATTAACTGAATTAAATTACGTCTTCTACTTTTTTAAGCTCTAATAAGCTGCAAGGGCCCTTAGGAAACAAGTAGAATTCAATTAGATTCCAGCAATTAACAAGTAACGCAAACGCACGTGACGTAGTATCGTGAGCATGTCTATTGGTTCCTTTCCTTTACATCACAGTACTGTAAATAAACTAGAGCTGTCCAGTGTCACCGCATAGAGTGCATACCACCGCCCTGCTGGATACCGAACAATACGCAGGCCGTGTATGGGCGATTCCATTATTATTATCGACGGTCAACGGTCAAAATATAATCACCACTTTCTTAGAATATTATGATGAATAAAACACTAAAATATATATTAAATTTGTATCTCTGCACAGACCCAGTGATTCATTCATTCTCTTTTTATTTCGGAACTATATCTATATACTTACAATTACCAGTTACAATAAGATAATTACAAAAAGAGAAAAATTAATACAGCAAGGTATTCCATTGCCTGGAGCTATTTATATATATATAAACTTGTATAAATGTATATATGTATATGTATATTATATATATATATATAAATATGTATATATATATATTCCATTTTTTCTTTAGATCGACTGTCAATATTTAATCCCCTCTTTCTTAGGTTAATATGATGAATAAAACACATATGCCTAATATAAATATAAAAAAAGTAATTATATTATATCAATTTTTTAGCGATACCGAAATCCA